TCAGATGTCACTGCTGTTGTTTGCGGTGACGTCTATCGGAAACTACGCATAATCTGTTTTCCGTTGATTGTTCACAGAGGACAGTGCAGTGCACACCGTGTCTGGTATCTCTATATATTCATTTATATTAACATCCGAAGTCATTTCTTTTTTACACATTCTGCACACAAAATAGCTCACCCATCACATAATTTCCCACAATTTTTTTTATGAATGGGGCGGGACAGAAAGTATTCTTTATGCAGAATTTCTAAAAAAGGAGGGACTTCGGTTGTTAATCTAAATGCATATATAGAGGTACTAGACATGTTTTGTAGTGTCAGGTACTCTATTTTGTAATCTGTGAAAGGGAAATCACAAATCGAGTGTCATCAAAATACATGGCATGTTGAGAGATTGAGCTCGTGAGAGAGAATTTTCTTTCTCTAATTTGAATTTTTGCTCTCTCTATGGGGGCTGGTAGTAAAGCGGTAAAAATATGTATGGGAAAAACCCTTTTTTATTTAATTGTAGCTTGTTTAATAATAATTCACAGGGAAAAAAAGAACGGCAAAGTCTATGAATTATTTCTGTAGGTTGTCATCAACTTTTATATGCATCAAAGCGTATTATTTCCACATTTAAAAAAATTATATAGAGATATTTATTACTTACTACCAATGGGACAGCGCCATATGCGTGAAAAATAGTATTGACTAAATGGTTCATTGTCGACCCAAGATCCTGAAACCTAAATATTAACATCCATTCAGCATGACACAAAAATTTGTCATCGATTTGTGTGTTAAACCCAACACGACACGTTCTTGAGCGCTATTGACAACACAGAGGCGATAATGAACATCCAGCCACGAATGAAGAAAAACAAAGGTTGACTTCGATACTCATAGGTTGCGTTGATCAAGAGAATGCTGTTATGTCAAACTTCAAATGCATGCAGGTAGATGGTCTATCTGTTAAGGTTGTCTTCATTTTCAGCTAAGTTGAGTGTAGAAGAAATTATATTTATCAGCACTGCTCGTGATGGATGATCAGCAGGCGATAAACTAAGGGTCAGAACAGTCAGAAAATCCGGTCACATCTCTCCAAATTCGGCGAACCAGAAAATCCACGAGCAACCAGCAACAAAGAAGCAATAAGAATGTTCGAATGAATTTGATTGGGCTGAAGCATCGTCCCTTTCGATTGACGATGTTATTTATCTTCGTCGAATACGAGCATACGAGCAGCAAACAGCAATTCAAAACTAATAATTCAAGCGTAACTATTCAAATCGACGTATCTGCTTTTGTAAACAATCTCTGCAATCGACAATTTGTCTTAACTGCTAACTCACCCACGCAAAAAAAAAACACCATCATCAGGTAGGGGAATATTTCCCCTATTAGCTGGTGTTGTTAGTTTCTGTGAGTGAGCTTGCAGTTGCCACAAATCGTCAATTGAAGTGATTGTTTACAAAATCAGATACGTCGAATTGAATAGTTATGCTTGAAAATCATTCAGATCCAAAAGTTTGTAATTCCTGTTTAAAAACTGAACTTTTTTTGTGAAATCTGCAGGCTGACAAAATCGGGAAAAATAGCTGACAAAATCGGAAAAGCCCTGTATTTCTAATTTACCACGTCAGGTTTTCGACGTGGGTGTGCTGGATCAATTTTCTTTTCTCGTCTTCCATCTAGTACAACTTTTTTAATACTGCACGTATCGAGACGAAACGGAAACACGTGTACTTTCAAAACAAATCGCTGTCAAAACATTCCATAACTGACCACTAGAGGTGCTGATATTGAATAAATAAATTGTCCGGATTCTAAGTGGACCAAACTTAATTAACGTGAGAGAAAATAGATAGCAATACAATTCTACACAGTCACTGAGCTAGATTGAACAACCGTATAGACGTCTACTGGGTGGCACTAGCGTGCACAGGAATCTTGTGCAGGAGGGGCAATTGTTTTTTTCTATGGTGCATTCAATCTGGGGATGGGGAGTACTCCAAAGTGCGGGGGAGATGGTGATGTCCACCCACCACTGTTTCCCTACTGTTCAATTTAGCTAATTTTATTTATTTTTTACTCCGGTGGTGGTTCATCTTCTTCAATGGAAACTGCTTTCAGACAACCAATGGAATTGACAATTTAATCCCACCGACAATGTCGATGAGGATCAGTTCGTCAAATGGCTGCATTAGTAGGGCTTTAACCGAAATGTTTCAGAAGTCAATATCCTTGAGATTCTTCGCAGATTTTTTTAGAACTCTCCTAAGAGCTCTTTTGATATTCTTTTCAGAGGTCCACTGGAATTATGCTTAGATCTCTTCATGATTTTTTCTCAGAACACCTTGGAACTCAAATTCCTTTAGAGTTTCCGAATTTTATCCCGGGATGAGCTAGAAATTATCCTCGGAATTCGCTTGAAATTTTGTTTAAAATCCCTTTGGAATTTCACTCAAAATTTTATTTTCTCGGTATACTTTTCGAAATCAGCTTGGAACTATCCGCAGGATGCACTAGAAATTATAGAATTTTCTTGGAATTCTTCCAGAAATATTTTGGAACTGTCCTAAGAATTCAATATCTTTGAGGTTCTTCTCGAAATATTTTAGAACTTTTTTTTTTCTCAAAACACTTTGGAACTGGAATTCCCCTAAAGTTTCAGAAGAATTTCCTCTGTATTCTACAGAAATTCTTCGCAGAATTAGCTTGAAATTATCCTCGGAATTCCCTTGAAATTTTCCTCAACATCCCTTTGAAATTTCATTCAAAATTTGATTCTCTCGGTATTCTTTTCAAAATTATCTTGGAACTATCTGCAGAATTCACTAGAAATTATTCACAGAATTTTCGTGAAATCATTCCCACAAATATTTTCTTTTGGAACTGTCCTCAGAATTCAATACCCTTTACGTTCTTCTTGGAAATCAAGTTTAATTTGTCTGTCCATTCATCAAAACGTTGTAATTTTTCTACCAGAAATGTTCAATAAAACTTGCCTCTCCATTCACCAGAACTGTGCAATTTTTAGATCAGGAATTTTCAATTCAGCTTGCCCCTCCATGCAGCAAAATGTTGCAAATCATACACCAGAAATTTTCAATACAAACTTGCCCCCAGAAAATTTAACACCAGAAAACTTGAATTGACCAGAACGATGCAAATTTTCCACCGTTAATGTTCAAATAAAATTGCTTCTTCAATCTTCTGATTGGTGCCGATTTCCTTTTTCCATTTTTCACCAGAGATTTTTATTGTTTATTGTTGTTTATTTTTTATTGAAAAATTCAACTGACAAATACTGACAATACTGAGGCAATTTTCAAATAAAGCTTGTCCCTATTTTCATATTTTTCATCATAAATTTTCAGTAAAGCAGCTTCCCTCCAGTCATCAGAATGGTGCAAATTTTACACCAGAAATTATTATTAAAATTTGTTTCTCTATTCAGCAAATTTAAGACCAGAAAATTTCCAAAAAGCTTGCCCACCAGAAATTTTAAATAAAGTTTGTGCCTTCATTTACCAGACTAGTGCAAGTTTTCGACCAGAAATATTCTGTTCATTTCATTTATCAAAGCGATGCAAATTTTGCACTAGAAATTTTCAATAGAGCATGCTCCTCCATTGTCAGTGAAGTTTGTTACACCATGCACCTTTTTGGTGCAATTTTCAGACTTTGCCTCTTCATGCAGAATGGTGCAAATTTTCCAATGAAGCTTGCATTCATCAGAACGATGCAAATTATGCACCAGAAAAATTAATAAACCTTGCTTTTACATTCACCACAGTGTTGCGAACTTTCCACCAGAAATTTTCAGTTAAATGTGTACCTCCAAATTTTTAGCGTGACTCAATTTTAGAACCAGAACCAGAAATATTCAATAAAAAGCTTTTTCTTCGATTTACTACCACGAAGGTGAATTTTTTTAACCTTAAATTTACCCTTTGCTTTTAACCCTTCATGAACAAACTTGAAAAAAAAATTACACCAGAATTTTTTTGTATTCACCAATGTGGTGCAATTTTTTGACCAAAAAAATTCATTGAAGTTTGTTCCTTCAGGCACCTTTGTGGTGCAATTTTTTGGCACAATCTCAAAAGAATTGACGCAATAAAAGGGTTTCAATTTTACCTTCAAATCAAGTTATCAAGAAATCTAGTTATTTTTTATCATAACTTTTAAAATGTGGAAATAAAAATCTTATTTATAAAAGGTGGGGCAATTGCCCCACCTTGCCCCACTCTGTGCACGCCAGTGCTGGGTGGTAGAATTAAGCAACGCTGCTCGACTTCAACAGAACAAATAGAAAGCTGCCCGGACTATGACTATGGATATTTAGAATCAATTTCCCTTTCTGTATTGAAAGTGTTAAGATTGAATAGCTGAATACAATTGCTAGACAAAGACAAATACAACATAACCATCACGACACGAACCATGTTATTCTCGAGCAATTACACACTTATGTCGTTTTCGTTTTTGCGGTGTAGCACTGGTGTAGTGTAAGCAGGAATAAGCGTGAGTCTTTGACAGCTCAACATCATTTGTTTGTAAAGAAAGGTGCATCCTATATCTACACCTTAAATTATTTCGGTGTACGGCAGTGTAGCACCGGTGTAGCTACACCGCAAAAACGAAAACGACATTAGACAAATCTTGTAAATTTAGATGCTCTGAGAGTAACATATACCTATGAGCTTGAATTTTGATATAAATTTGAGTCATAACAGACGCGAAATACAATACAATACAATACTTAATCAAACGTACTTTTCGTCGAGCAACGAACTTTTCAGTCTCGGAGCGCTTACATGACATGTTTGTTTACGTAAAAAAAATTATGTCAAAGATGGATTCTATCACGTGTACAATCTGTTATTTCTACATAAGTGTATACATGCTTTAACTTTTTTGACTTAACAGAAACAGAATGATGATTTATGTCTTAATATGCCCCGACCAATTATGATTAAAAATTCTATTCTTTCTTCTCGCCCCCCTCAGGTTCCCAATCGCGCTACTCGGTGATCGAATCTAATGGCATTTCGATGCTGCGAATCGAACCGGTACGTGCCGGCCGTGACGATGCACCGTACGAATGCATGGCAGAAAGTGGCGTCGCCGATGCCGTGTCTGCTGAGGCGACTCTCACCGTCTATGAGCGTAAGTACATACACACTTTCAGAACTCTTTCAGTTTATCACAAAAGTACAACCGACCACTTATAAGTCCCCGTTCTATTAAAAATCTACATAATAATACCATTGGGGAAATTTTTCTCTTCACCTTGCTAATCCATCTTCATCACTTTGCGAAATGCAAAACAAATAGTTTACCATTATGATTCATAACTTGCTCTCCAATCCGGGAATGGGACCGTCATCTTGCGACCGTTTTTCCGGTGCACCGCTTTCCGGAGCTCTGCAAAGGAAGCAACTGACGATAAGCAGAGCGAAAGAGAAAGAGTCTCAGTGTATAGAGCTGCAGAAAATCCCAAGCGGATTTGCATCACTAATTGTATGAATTTCCAGCCATTATGCTAATACCGGTGTGGTGTGAGGAAACAGACCATCCTCTGATAAGGACGCGCAAATTCAAGGTGCCACGAAAAAAACGGTACCGATCGGAATGAAGAAATCCTAATCCATCAGAAAGAAGCGGATTAGCTAGCGCGATGCAGTTCTCAGACTCGGAGAGCTGATGAATAAAACATAGACGGGATTTTCGTACGGCATCAACACTTCCAAACCTGTCGATTTCTATCCAATATCCATGGTGTCCAATCGGTAGGATGAGTCGAATGCATTTTATAGATTTTATTCTAATAAAGGTGCCCGTTTAAGCAGGATGTGCCAATAAGTGAATGAGTCAATGCTGCTATCGATGGCTGCGTCTGCTGATGGGCTATAAAGCGCTCTGAATTGATGGCTCGCAGCCGAGCAGCCGAGGACTAAAATATCAATCTACGCGGCTAGAAAGAGGAGGACAAAAAAAATCCCGAAGTTGTGCTTTGTGTGAGAACAAGATAAAGACATACGGAAAGTGATTTGCATAAGCATCCACTTTTTTTTTTGGGACTCCTTCCGGTCGGTGGGGCATAATTTTGCATTGATTTGCATAATGTTGTAGCAAAATGCTGAGCGGGAGGAAGCTTGGTTGAAAATGGAAGTTGGAGAAAATGGCGTTCACTCATCTTTGGTTGTTGACGCCTGCGGGGCGGAACGGAATTGCTCTGAAATGATGCCCTCCATCCATGCCATACCCGTATAAGGAAAGGAGCGATGATCAAAATAATGGATGACAGTTTGAGTTGCGACACATTGCATGATTGCGATAAGCAAAATAACTTTATTTGTATCACGCCTCGTCATGAAATTAAACATTAAATCAAAGATCTTTTTTGATTGCATTCTATGATTAAAAATTCAAAGATGCAAAATTTAACACTGGATCCGGGGCCCGGTGTCTTCGCCAGAGTTGGCGTGCACAATTGTTCGCACCAATTACTCAATTGTCAATTGCACTCACTTGATGAAACGTGGTCCATAAAACAAAGTAGGTTTTCATTTAGGAGAAAAGCTGTTCTTATTTTTGCGTCTCAGATATTTTATTGATGAATGGACAGACAAATTAAACTTGATTTCCAAGAAGAACGTAAAGGGTATTGAATTCTGAGGACAGTTCCAAAAGAAAATATTTGTGGGAATGATTTCACGAAAATTCTGTGAATAATTTCTAGTGAATTCTGCAGATAGTTCCAAGATAATTTTGAAAAGAATACCGAGAGAATCAAATTTTGAATGAAATTTCAAAGGGATGTTGAGGAAAATTTCAAGGGAATTCCGAGGATAATTTCAAGCTAATTCTGCGAAGAATTTCTGTAGAATACAGAGGAAATTCTTCTGAAACTTTAGGGGAATTCCAGTTCCAAATTGTTTTGAGAAAAAAAAAAGTTCTAAAATATTTCGAGAAGAACCTCAAAGATATTGAATTCTTAGGACAGTTCCAAAATATTTCTGGAAGAATTCCAAGAAAATTCTATAATTTCTAGTGCATCCTGCGGATAGTTCCAAGCTGATTTCGAAAAGTATACCGAGAAAATAAAATTTTCGGATTTGTTAAGTTTTATGTAATGAGCGGAAAGTTATTCAGAAAGGGCAATTTGTTTAAGAAATAAGCCTGCCAACCCTGATCTCAGGTTTTTTTAGTGCAAATAATTGATATTCTAAATCTAACTTTCCTATTTGTTTGTCGTGATTTTTGACAAAATTGTAGCTGAGATGGTTTCAAGCTTTTTTATTAAGAAAACATATTTTCTGTCTCTTAACGTTCTCAATTAAGAGCATTTTTGACTTAAGGTGTTCATTAGAGTGGGTGTTTGTGTGTATTCATTCCCCCACTGGCCAGCAGTGTTATTATGGAAGAAGTCATTGTAGACAGCTTTAGGCCGGGAGTTAGAAGGTGATAACTCTATTGCAGATCCAGCAATCCATTCCAGAATGTCTGGAGAGTCACGCCCATTCCGAGGTTGCTTTAGTATTACACACACACTTCCAGTTTCCAAACTGTTCTGTTGAATCCTGGTATGTTTTTTTTTATTATTATAAAAAGTAAATATTTGGACTGGTCTCACCATGTTCCGCTGGTCTGCCGCCATTGATTGCTTCTTTTGGAATCCCTTGTACTTTTTCTCTAACACTTCGTATTTCATTCCGCACTTCACCAGCAATTTCCTTCCGTAGATCGTCCTTGATCGGTTCTGACATGATTCCGCCTTTTCCAGGTATTTCTTGTTGTCCGAGGGAGATAAATCCGCACTAATGTTCGGACCTGGTTTGATTTTCACTCTTCCTCGCTGGTTGGTGTGGTCGATCTCATGTCCACCATCTGTTACTGTATTGCCATGGTCATCTGGTATAAGGCTCGCATCTTAAATCGCTGGTCCACCGAGCACTCGGCATGAGTCATTGAATCAATGTAGAGTTTAGTATGAGATGGTGTGATATGCAAAGTACGAAAAGAGAATGAATGGAATTCGAAAGGGATTAGTTTCAAGAAATGATAGTTTCATCAGATTCCCCAACTAACCATACTCAACTTCTTCTTCTTCTTCTTCTTCGCATTTAAAGCTTATTGCATATCGCATATTAGCTTATTGCGTGCTCTCAACTTAGTGTTCTAGATGCACTTCCACAGTTATTAATTGAGAGCTTTCGATGCCTGTACCATTTTTGCATTGGTATAATGGTGTGGCAAGTCCAATCATACTTCTATGATACCTATACCCAGGGAAGTCGAGATATTTTCCAACCCGAAAAATTCCTAGACCGAACCGGGAATCGAACCCAGCCACCTCCAGCATGGTCTTGCTTTGTAGCTGCGCCTTTACCGTCTGAGCTAAGGGAGGCCCCATACTAACCATACTCAAGCAAAGTAAGTAAATGCAAGCTTTATTGCGACTATATGATTACTTGGGTACTCATATGGCCGTCAGAATGGTTAATCGGTTGCGAAGTGAAGTATTCCTGAAAGTGATCCGTTATATTTCCCAATGTTTTGATTTTATCCTTACGTTACCTCAATGTTATATCACAGACAAACAGACACATTACATTGAACATTTATCATTGTAAACACTACCGCCATCTGTTGTGTACACTCAACAGATGACTGTAGCGCGTGAACGTAAAACGGAAGGGAATTGATTATGCACGCCACAAGTGGCGGTAATAACAACTAAGAAACATTTAAATTGACCGTTAAAAGCGATTTCTATGAACATCTTAAGCATGTTATGTCTGCTTGTCTGTGATCATACCTTCACTATCGCAACTCCGGGTAATCCACGAAAGTGTTTGCATTTTTCTCACGCACTTTTGAACTAACTGCAATCACTCTCTCATACTCGAAATGTGCCACGACCAAATTGGCACAACGACGCCCTATACGCTCTCTGACCAAAGCGCAGGGACTTAAGATGTTCATTAGAGTGTTCCAAAATAGGGCAATCCTGGAATGTCAAACGCTGGAATGGTAGTTTGGGTGGTCAGAAACACCCCCGCCAAATTTTGAAGTCCTTTGGTTCAACACCTCGCTCAAACGGCGTGAAGTTTGTATGGGGAAAATCGACAAAATGTATGAGAGAAGGAGCCACCTTCATATTGAGGGGTGATACGGTCAAAATTTGGTCAAGGGAAAACGCGTGTAAATCGGTGAAATCGTTTATTTAAAAAATCAAATTAAATTTCTTTTTCAAGTTCAATTAGTATAAAATTCAGGAAAAATATTCAGTTAGGCTTCCGCTTTTCCAAATCCGAATTGCCGGGCCTTACGCTTGACCCCTGCCATCAGATTTTGTACAGCCACCTTGTCCACCTTCTTCCCCAAGCAACACGGCTTGTCATAAAGAAGTTGAAAATACTTTTCAATGACTTACGTATAGAATCAATAATACTTTAAGTTACATCATTTAATACATTTATACAACCTAAAAAGCGCAAGACGCGGAGCTTATAAAACTAAATACTGGTATTATAACATGTTTTGAAAACATCATAAAAACCAGCGGCAAAAAAAACAATAAAAAAAAACTTGAGCATGGGATTCGAACACTGGTCCTTGGCGTGGTAGACTTAATACTTCCTAACTGGACCAACTCCGCTTAAAGAAAGATTTTTATAAGTGTCTATCATGTTCTTGCCAATGGCATGAAAATTATATTCTCGTGCATCACGCCTTCATAAAGACGTTTTGTAAGCAGCAGAGCGTACATTCAATTGCCAGAGTGTTATTTTAAAGTATTTTCAACTTCTTATAGGACAACATGCACCTTTTCAGTTGTATTAATTTATGAGATGTCATAACAAAGTGTTTTCAACTTTCTTTATAACAAACCTCCGAAAACATCATAAGAGACTGTCAATCACTGCGTGAAGAGACAGTCCGTCTCTATGGCGCCGTCAATGTTTACGTCATTCTGGAAAGTACAGAATCTCTTCAAGGACTTTATAAATTAAATTAAGATTGATTTTGTATATGAACAGTTTTATAGTGGTATTTAAACAGTAAGATGCACGTTCAAATAACATTTAAAGATAAAAGCAAAAGAAAACTATTTTTGAAAATTTTGAAATTTAGGAAGTATTAAGAAAACATCTATAAAC